TGTGTTTATAACAGCTGGCAAAAGTTTTGCATATAGCACAGTCCTTTTTGATAAGTATTGGAATGATTTTTCCTCAGCTTGTCTTTTGCTTTCTTACTTTATTTATAGTAGTTTTGTCATGCAGATATATTTCTTATGAATGGATCAGGAAAACTGAGAAATCCCCTAGAAGACAGAAAGCAGATGGAAGCAGATTAAGAAAAACAAGATCACAGAAAACCACAAAGACAACCCAGGAAACTTCTGCTTTAGTGGTGGGAATGGTTCTGGAACAGCTCCAAGCTCAGAGTCAATGGCCCCAAGGAACGGGAGGGTACCCTGGGACAACCCTCAGGATATTTAATTTGAAGCAACCAGGCTGGTGAATCCTCTTTCAGCTCCTCTTGCAGTGAGCAGGGGTTAGCAGTGGTTGCCCCCAGGATAAAGCAGTGACTGGGCACTAAGACTAGAGAAGCAGAGTGATAACTGGGTAACAAGAAACCCCCAGGACAGACAGGGAAACCTCATGGCAAAAGATGCATTAACAGAGGCTCCCATACTTGTCAGAGGCACACGCTCATCACCACAACCTGTATCTTCAAAGACCCACACAGTTCTCAAATCAAGGAGAAGGGAGTCAGGAGTTAGGAAAGATCCGAGAAAACCAATACCCTGAAAGACAGCAGCAAACTCAATAAGACAGACTGATGTCTGAAAAAAAGAGTGAGAGCAAAGGGAAGAGTTTAAATACATGTAACAAATTTCTTCAGAATGGGTAAGCACATGGGCTCAGGAATCAAACCATCTGAAATCACTTCCTAGCTCTACTACTTTCTAGATGTATGGATGGCATTAACGACTTAATTTGTGCCTCAATTTACTAATCTCTAAAATGGAGGCTTAAATAATACCAATATCACAGAATTACTTTGAAAATTAAATGAAATAATCCATGTAAAAACACTTAGGTGGGTAATTAGCCAATAATAAGTGCTCAATAAATGTAAGATACTATTTATTATTATTCAAGTAGAATAATACTTGAATTATTCTAAAGTAGAAAGCTAAAGTAGAAATTAGGCTAAAGTAGAAAATCAACAATTTGAGGATTTATATGTTAAAATAAAATTTATAGCAAATTTATGGCTCTGTCTCCTGAGAGGGCCTACAGCCAATTATATCCCAGTAGCAATAAGTACACCTAGCTCCCAAATCTTGGTTTCTAAATACCATTCTTCACTAAGGGAACTGGGGCTCCTAAGAGAAATGGCTGATTCCAGGGCTGCTGCAGAAAAGTACAATAATATTTTATTGTTCTATAAAGTGAGAACATGCTCAACAAATGCTAGAGACCTATCAAATGGACACAGGAACCAGCTGGAGGGGCTCCCACTGGCCAAATCTTAATTATCCTCACATATATTTTGAGGATGAAAATATATAATGATAGTAACAGATTATAATCCACTGAAAAAATAAGAATTCATGAATGTATCCTGATGAAAATAAATGAAAAAAAAAATAAATAGGAGGAAAGGGAAAGGTCTGGTCTCCCTTAAGGTTGAATGCCACATAAAGTTAAGGAAAAATAATGGGTGATCAAACCATTGGACAAATTTTGATGAGGACCAGAGATTTACATAATCCCAAAGTATCTGCCCCCAAATTTCTTTTTAATCACAGAAGGAAAAATAGTAACTACAGTGAGGAGATGTATAGACAACACATTAACCAAGTGCTCAAAGTTAATATCACCTGAGCCAAACTGACATCGTGTGCCTCCTGATATGCCACACTGAGAAGACCATATCATTCCAGTGCAGTCCCGCAAAAAATGCATAACATGAATCTAATCACGAGGAACAGCAGGCAACACCAATTCAGTTTTATAAAATAACTGGTCAAGGTCAAGAACTTCAGACAAAAGAAGGGTTGAAGAACTTTTCAGATTAAAAGAGACCTAAAAGACATGTCAAATAAATGCAAAGTGTAATCCTGGATTGGGTCTTGGACCAGAAAAAAATAACTATAAAGGACTTTATTGAGACAACTGATGAAATTTGAATATGGACTGAAATTTGAATATGCATTAGAAAATAGTATTGTATCAATGTTAATGTCTATATTTTGATATATTATGGTTAGGGTTATGAAAAAGAAGGTCCTTCATAATGGATCTCTGGTAACTTGCTGCACTGATGGACAGTGACTGCATTGGGGTATGGATGGGGACTTGATAATATGGGTAAATGTAGTAACCACATTGTTTTTTCATGTGAAACCTTCATAAGAGTGTATATCAATCATACCTTAATACAAAATTAAAAAGAAAAAGAAAAAGAAGGTCCTTGTTCTGAGGAAATGCACAATGAATTATTTAAAGGTAAAGAAGCATGATATCTCCAAACTATTCTCAAATGATTCAGAAAAAATAGCTATCTGTGCATCTGTCTCTCTATTTATCTATCTATGTATCTATGTATGAATGATAAAGGAAATGGAGCTGAGAATTTCCTGGCATTCTTAAGACACCAGGCCAGGAATCTCAGTAAACTTCAAGTAAGATAAGTGGAAAGATATCCACACTTAAATATATCTCAATGAAACTGCAGAACATCATAAAATTTTAAAAAAATCTTAAAATAGCCATAGAGAAAAGAAAAATAATGTGTCAAGTGGCAGTTAGAGTGATAACTGACTTCTCAAAAGCAATAATGGAAACCAGTAGACAGGTAAGGAAGAGTATGTCTGGAATATAGGAAATCCCTTAGGGTATCTCCTAGTTTACCATGACCTGTGATTAAGGTCAATGGAAACCTATTACAGTCCAGTTCAAGTAGGATTAGTAATGGCCAGACATTTTAGGATTGAAGGTTTGGGCCACCCTACCAGTGAAGAACCACAACCAGCCGTGGCACCTGCTAAAGGCAAAGGGAATACAGAATGGGGAGTAGAAGAAGGTAGTAATAGTCGAATCTACAACTATGTGACCAATTACAGAAATAATGACTGTAATTGTTGTGAATTTTGTTATGAATACATTTATTTTTTCCACATGGGAACCATTTGTCCCAAATACTTATTTTATTATGAACAAAAATTTATTTTGTTATGTGTTTGTATATGTGCATATATTAAGCAAATATCTTTGTCTTCTTTGTACTCTTATTCCCTTATCATATAACACAGGATGTATTGACACTATATCAGTATTTAACTATTGTTAATTTCACATCATAGTGTTTAAGTTACAGGGTATCAGGAGAAGAGTAAATATCACTCAAGGACTTTACCTCCTCTTCTGGGGAAGGGATTAATGCATTTTCAGTTGTACACAGGGTAGTTGTATCATGTTGGGCAGAATTATGACCTTGTTATTATTTTTATTTAGAGATTAAGTATGGTTTAAGGAGATGCATATGAGGGCTAAGTTGATAAAGACTTGTGATGGTTAATTTTATGTGCCAACTTGACTGGGCTAAGGGATGCATAGATAGCTGGTAAAATATGATTTCTGGATGTGTCTGTGAGTGTGTCTGTGGAAGAGATCAGCAGTTGAATTGGTAGAATGAGTAGAGATCTCATGCCTCACCTACAAGGATGGGCATGATCTAATCTGCTGAGAGACTGAATAGAATGAAAAGGTGGATGAAGGATGAATTCACTCTCTCTGCATGAACTGAGATATCTACATCTGCCCCCTCTGATTTTGGCATTCCTGGTTCTCAGGCTTCAGAATGGGACCTAAATTACACCATAAATTATCACCAGCTCTTTCTCAAGCCTTAGAATGCACACTGTTTGCTTTTCTGGTTCCCCAGGCTGGAGAGGGCAGATCCAGGGATTTAGCCTCCATAATCACATGAGCCAATTCCTAGAGTAAATCTCTCCTCTGTTCTTTCCCCTCTCTCTATATATATCTATATCACCTCTATCTCTATCTATCTGTCTGTATCTTTGTTTGTCTTTCTGCCTATATATATATCTCGTAGCGGTTCTGCTTCTGCATAGAATCCTGACTAATAGGGTTGGTTACAACTACTAAGAATGGAATATTCAATAAATACAATGAAGAGTGTTTGGGACAAATGGCTCCCCACATGGAAATAATGTAATTGTGTCCTATGCCATATATAAATTCCAAATAGATTGAGGAGCTAATTTTTTTATAAGAGAAAACTACAAAAGCATTAGAAAAATATAAAAATTTTTAATTGTGCAGTTTTCTTAAGTAAGGCACAAAATGCACAAGCCATAAAGAAAAGATGTAAGAAAACAAATCCTACCATTTGCAACAACATGGATGGAGCTAGAGGGTATTATATTCAGTGAAATAAGCCAGGCGGAGAAAGACAAGTGAAATCAGATGATTTCACTCATCTGTGGAGCATAGGAACAAAGAAAAACCTGAAGGAACAAAAACAGCAGCAGACTCACAGAACCCAAGAATGGACTAACAGTTACCAAAGGGAAAGGGACTGGGGAGGGTGGGGTGGAAGGGAGGGTTAAAGGGATTAAGGGGCATTATGACTAGCACACATAATGTAGGGGGTGCACAGGGAAGGCGGTACAGCACAGAGAAGACAAGTAGTGACTCTATAGCATCTTACTACGCTGATGGACAGTGACTGCAATGGGGTATGTGGGGGGGACTTGATGATGGGGGAATCTAGTAACCACAATTTTGCTCATGTGATTGTGTATTAATGATCCCTTAATAATAATAAAAAATAAAAAATAAATAGATAAAAAGAAAAGATTGAGATTTATCAAAATAAAAATTCCAAATTTAAATTAAGCAAAGGACATCATAACCAAAGTTAAATAACAAGGGATACAGTAAAATAAAATAACTACAAATCAATAAGATGACCACCCACTAGAAAAGCAGGCAAAAGATATGGAGAGATAATGTCACAAAGTCAATCAAATGGACAATAAATATATATGAGAAGATGTTCAGCCTCATCAGTAATGAGGGAAATACCAATTAAACAAGTTATTTTTCTTTCCCCAGACTGTCAAAACCAAAGTAAAAAACACTGATTTATTACCTCATCTCTGTCATTTATGCCATTGGTGGCAGTTTATATTGGTACTCTGTCAGAGGGCAATTCAGTGAGATCTGTCAACATTGAAAGCATTTCTACTGAGAACCTACCCTTCTAAATATCTACATTTGTGCAAGGATGTGTGGTCTATCACCAGAACTTTGAAATCTGTCGTGGTCCATCCCAACTGAAAGAACACCATGGATGTGCCTCCATACGCCCTGTCACACAAGCATCCTCAAGACCTCAATTTATTTTGATTAGTGAAAAAAGCAAACTGTGTAGACCGTTATTACCTTCTGTATGATTCCATTTCTGTAGAACTGGTAAAAACAATACACACATATAGTTGCATGTCTAAGTACATATATATGTAGGTAAATTTCTAGAGAAAGGATTATAAGAACATACACCAAGCTGGGAGATACAGGAGAGAGATGACAGGTTGTGTCAAAGAAGATGTTCCTATTTCTGTGCTGCTTGATTCTTTCCAGCGTGATGGGTTAAATATACCTGTGGAGGGAGAAGGTTTAAAAAGTAAACTGCTGTACACTGCACAGAAGAGCATTCCTGACTGCTTCTTGCAAGAAAGGGGCTGCTCTCAGAACCTAGAGTTCTTTTCTAGATCCCTCCACCAGCTAAGTAAGCTCAGTCTGAGCTGTCGAGTGGTCCCAGAGACTGTGAGCTGGGTGTCTACCCTTAAGGATATGAGCTGCAAGTCTGAGTGGGACATTAGACTCCATGCATTAGAACACCCCAGTCATTTCTGCTATCTGGAAGGTCTCCCCCCTGTACTGCTCTGCCCAGGCTGGCCCAGGGCTGCCACCCACCCACTCCATTGCCTCTCAAGCCCAACGTTGTCCTTTTTTTAAGGAGTGGTGGAACAAGTGCTAATAATGGTATTTTCTGGGCCTTCTGAAGTTTGTCTCCCAGAGGAGCAGAGTAAGGTCAACCACAGTCAACAAGCAAAACCAAGAGCGAGGGCAGTCGGTGGAGTATGATGACGGTTGTGGCCTTTCTTTGCTCTAGACAAAGAAACCTCAGGAGGCTGAGGTCAGGCCTTCCCAGCATTTGTATGCTGAAGCTTACTGGGAAATTTCAAAAGTTGCCACCCACATCTTGGTAAGGAGGGAGAAGGGACTTCTCTTCCAGGGATGGGTTGGGGGTTTGTGAGAGCAAGTAGAGACTGGAAGCTGGTTCCTTCTCTGGGGAGTTAAAGTATTGGGAAGCTCACAATTTTAATCTTATTCAGACATAAACATTTGAATATAGATTTGAAGAGGTGAGAGAGGAAGCCAGGATGCCAGAGGAAACCAGGAATGTACCATTCCAGGTACAAGAAACAGCAGTGCAAAGGTCCTGAGGTAGGATTGTGTCTGGTGTGCTGGAAGCACAGCAAAGGAGCCAGTGCGGCAGGAGCTAAGTGAGTGAGTGGAGAGTAGGAGATACTATCAGAAGGGAGGAGAGGAAGGTGGAGAGTGAGAACTGCCTTGGTGTCTGGTAAGGACTTTGCCTTTTATTCTAGATGAATTGGGGAGCCACTGGCAATCTAAGAGCCAGGGAGCAACATGATGTTGGTGACGTTTAACAGGATGGCTCTGGCTGTAATGTTGAGAACAGACTAAAAGAGTAAGGGGACAGCAGGGACCCAAGTGAGGTGGCACGCGCTAGAGTCCAAGGGAGAGAGAGTAGAGCTGAGGTTTTCTTAATGGAGTGGCCAGCATGCCTGGAGGGCTGTGGTGCTCTTTGTGGGACAGGGGCTCCTTACAACAGATAATGAAATGTACATGCCGCTTCTCTGGGTGCTGCTACTCCCTGAAGTGGCTTCTTCTGTTAGTCTGGGGTGGGGGCTACAATTAGTATTTCTACAAGTATCTGGGAACCGCACTTTGAGAACCACTGTTTCTTCACAGCACTGATGAAAATGTGCAAGAATAGTTTATCTTACGTCCTCAAGGAAGCAGCTTGCTCACCCCTATGTCCCAGTGCCCAGCCTGATGCTTGGTATGAATATATTGAGCTGTGCTCTGGACCAGGTGAAGACCTATATTGAATAAAATTCTTGAGGATCCCTGGTTTGAACAGTTTGGAGGTAATCGGTGTTGAAACTTTCCAGGACGTGGTCATCAGAGGAAGGAGATTAATAATAATAACAACAGGTGTGAAACCCACCCAGTCCAGTGTCTGCTTAGGTGTTTAGTCACATCTTCTCCAGTTAAATTCTGTGAAAGCCTTGTGGGTCTGGCATCTCACTCCTATTTTAGGAAGGAGGAAACCGAGGCTTAGAGAGTTTTAATTCCCTAATAAGCTCACACCACTCAAAAGTACCAGAACCCTGCCAGGGACTGACAAAAAGTTTGTGCTCTGTTTACATCACAGATTTCCTCAAGAAGTCACCGATAAGAGGACACTGCCTTGAAGACAGGAGCTTCCTTACTTGGGAACTGTGAGCCATTTAAAAATATGCAGGGAATATGCCATCCTTAAAAAAAAATGCCTCCTGTTTAAATTGAGAGCTCTGTTCATACAGCTCATTCCCAGCCCCAAACCCAGATGCCCTAATAGGTACTAGCGGCGGCTGCACCAACATGAGTATTTGGGGCGACGTTCGTGGCTTTTATCAGTCTCTCGCGGAGCATTTTTCGTCAGCCCTCACCTCTTCCCACTTTGCCCCTGTGGGAGGATGGGCGTCATATTCTGTGCTAGGATAGTTTATCTCCAAGTGAAATCCATCCCTCTCACGACAGAAGCAGAAAACCAAGTTCCGGGACTTCCCGCCTCATCAGTCCCTCTCTTACCCTATCCTCCCCCCAGGATAAAAATAGCCACCTCCCAGGGCCTCTCTGCGGGTGGAGCAACTGCGCGGACGCTGGGCCAGGCCCGGGAGCAGCTGCTCCGCAGAATTGGGCCCCGAAGGGAGGCATGGGGTCAGGGCCGAGGCGCTTGGAAGTTTCACGGAGACGGGGCTCCGGGAGCAAGTTTGATCGCGATGGCGGGTGGCTCATACAAATTCATCGTGGGGCTTGGAGGTCCGTGCATTGGCTCACTCGGCTGCCTTAAAAAAAAAGACGAGGTGTATCCATGATTTTTACCTCCCTGGGGGACCGCGACTACCTAGAACAAATGATGTAATACACACGTCACGTCTCTGTGTGTGCACAAGCACACACATTGGCACCATTTCATATTGGGGTCAGGGGAGGCTGTCAAAACCTGGCATGGACAGCAGCTTAACCCGTGATGAGGGCTAATAATAGGGTCGTAGGACTATTATAAAAGACAAAAATTCGTAATGTCTGAGAATAAGGTATTACAGTTTGCAAAGCAAGATCTTTTTGGGGCATAAATGTATGTAGGGTATATCCACGAGAACACAGAAATGTTAATGCTGACCTCCGATGGTGGGATAAAAGGTGATTTCTATTTTTCTCCATTTTCCACTAAACAAAAAAGCAAGTTTCTCTTGCAACCACAACGGCCTCATCCAGGCGTTTCCCTGGATCTGGGGAGCCCACTCAACTGCAGGCGCAGCTCGGGTCTGCCGCCTGGACATACTGTCGTGGAGGTGGGGGTTACAGACAACAGACGAGCAAAACATTGGACTGGCAACAAAGCGGCGGGCAGGCTCAGTAGACGGTGATCAGAGAACGCTTCGCCCGCGCCGGCGCTTTAAAGCCACAGCTCTCGGCGCCCAGCTCCGGCCTCAGCCCGCAAGGCGCGGGAGGTACGTGCGTGCACGCTCTCGTGGCGGCGGCAGCGCGCACGGGCGCGACTTCGCAGCCAGTCCCCCGGGAGTGGACGATGCCGCCGAGCGGGCGGCGGCGGCGGCGGCGGCGGCGGCGGCGCGCTCTGGCGGTCTGAAGCGGCGGCCGGCTGCCACGGGCCGGCTGCGCGATGAGCTGGACGGCCGCCCCCGGCTCGGGGCTGTGAGGAGCTCGGGGCCGGGGGTGGGCGGCACCGCAGCCGGCGGCCCACGCTCCTCCTCGGCGGCGGGGGCTATGCGCGGGACAGCGCGTCCAGGGCCGCCGGGCTGGGGCCGCCTACCGGGGGCCCGCGGCCTGAAGGCCCCGCCGCCGCCGCCGTCGCTGCCGCTCCTGCTCCTACTCGCGCTGCTGCCGCTGCTCCGCGTCGCCGCTGCCGCTGCCCCGGTCCCGCGGCCCCCGGCGCTGTCGCCCGCGGGGCCCAGCGTGAGCCTCTACCTGAGCGAGGACGAGGTGCGCCGGCTCATCGGTGAGTGGGGCCGCCGGCGCCGGCCTGGCAGATCGGGCCGGGCTCCGGCAGCTTCCGGTCTCGGGAGGCCCAGTCTGCGCGGCTTGGCCCACGGGCGGCGCGCGTCCCGTCGCCGGGGGTCGTCTTCGGGCCCCGGCCTTTGCCTGCCCTGCTGGCTCGGAGGTGTGGTCCCTGCCCAGCCCCTCAGGTCCGCCTTCCCGCCTCCCCGCAGCCCTCACTTCCGCCGCGAGGGCACCAGGGGACCCCTCGGCCTCCGCGAAAGACCCGGGACCCACCCCAGCCCTCCCCCTCAGAGCCTCTTCAGCCTTTCGCCTTACTCCGAGGATCAAGCGCCCTAAACTTTTCTTCCCCGCTGCACCAAGTTTCTTTGGTCCTTCCTACGCATGTCAGGGCTCTGGTTTTCGGTTATCTAGAAATCCACGTTTTATTTAAAGCAAACCTGCAAACCCTTGGCAGTGGTTTTGATGCCCTAGTAGAGGCCACCCTATTGTGCTCATACTTTCTGGTTTTTATCCTTTTTAAAAAATGACAGAGAGGGAGATAGTAAGGGCACTGCATGCATGCTCCAGGCAGTCTCCACATCTTGCAGCGGATGGGCATATTTTAAATAGTGAATGAATCCCCAGGTAGCAGACCTTTTAGCTCCTTCAGTACGTTTTTGGTTCTTGTCTTGGATATGTTGGACTTCGGACTGATCTGTCTTTCTGGGCCACTCTTCTTTGAATACCTTGTAGGGGAAGAAGAACTTGGCTTTGGATCAGTGGATGGTTATATTCTACCTAATTAGCTTTGTCATTTAGGGAATTATTTTGAAAAATAATGGTGTTCTCCTGTTGAGACTTTATGGATTTTGGAAATAACTCTTTAGAGGAAGATCCGATAGAAATGAGCCCAAAAGGAAGTCTTTGGTAGTTGCAGAGACCTAGACATTTCCTTTTTTGCATATTATGGCACAAAATACATTTTTTTCATCGTTACTTCATCTCAAGTTTGTGCTCCATCTGAGGGGGAAAAGTTATTCCTTTAAGCATCCATTATCTCTTAGTTTTGTTTTTTAAAGTTATAAGACTTTCTTGAGGTCTGTTGAGGTCCACTCAATTTGAAATGGAGTTGCTTTTAGCAGACTGTTTAGACATTGTTAAATATGTGGGTTTATAGTTTTTAACCAAGGAAGAATGTTGTGTTTTTGTAATGTCCTGCCATTCATAAGCCTCTTTTCAGTTTAGTTGCGTTAGCTGAATTTAGTTGAGCTGAATTAAGCCTGCAGATTGGGTTAGTCTTGGAACATAAGATTAAGGTTTAGAAAAATAATGAATGCCTGCTTATAAGTTGACTCACATCACATTAACTTAAAAAATACAGTGCACCATGCATAGTTCTGTAAAGTTTTTTTTGTTAAAAGCATATAATTGGTGACTTTCTGTACATGTAAGAAACCTGCTGAGGTTTGGCGTAGAGGCCAGGGGCAACCAGAGGCTGACAGTGATTGAGTGCCTGCCATATACCTGCCCCTACATGCTTTCTATGCATCAATTCCTCTAATTTTCTTGTGACCCAGTGAAGTAGATAACGTTATTCCTATTTTAGAGATGAGGAAAGTGAGGCTTTAAGTAACTTGCTCAAGGTTGTACAATTTAAAATCATAAAAAAATCAAATACAGTGTTGAGATAGGCCACAAAGTTTTGTTGAATGAAATGAAGATACTGTATATATGGAAGTTTGGGTATAGTATGGAGGGAAAGACATCATTAATACTTGAAATGAGTATTTATACCTGATTGATGAGCATCCGGTTTAATACCAGAAATAGTTTACTGGGAAGAGGTGAAGGAGATTGCCTCTGGGTCAAGATGGACCTCCAGCTGAATTTTCTCTAATGCAAATAGTTGACCTGTTACAGTGGGTCATTTGACTCTCCATCCTGCCAGATCAAGGTTTTCTCCTTCCATCCTTTCCCATCTCCTTCATCCTTTTACTTTTAAAGGAATCTTTGGCTGCCCCTTGGTAGGGAAGAGCAAGTGTGTTGTATACCAGATATCTAGAGTTCTTAGACTGCAGTATCACACAGAAACTCTTACAGTGTTTAAGACTACTTGAAATAATATTTTGTGCCAATTTTTTGTGTTGTTATGGGTTAAATGCCTTCTGAAAGCTGACTTAGGAAAGAAACTAGCCATCATTTTGTGATACTTCTAAGACAATGAGTTTAGAATTCCAAGTAAGAAACTTATAAATGAATTGATAGTAACAACTTTGTAAATTGAACTAATGCCCCAAAGGAAAATAAGTTGTTGTTTTAATCTAATTAATAAATACACATAGTTAAAAAAAAATCAAATAGTGCTAAAAGGAACGATGGTCTTCTGCCTTTGGTCGTTTTATCCCCTGGGATCTGTTTTCCAGCAGAAGCTACTATCCAAACTAGTTCTGTTTATTCTGTTTTTATTTTTATTTTCACATTTTGAAATCAATGTAGAATAAGCATTTGACCTCTAGTATCATAACTGAGCACTTGCCCTCAAACCCTACAATATTCTTTTACCAAAAAAACCCAGCGTTTAGTACTTACATTATTGTGCATATATTTATTGCCCACTTCTGAGTTAAATAGTGACCCATGATTATGTTTTTTTTTTCTACACATTTTTGTTTTTCCTGGAGCAATTACCTTTCAAAGTTTTTGATTCATTTTTCATGTGTCTATGGCTACATTCCCCTCAAATTCTCCAAGAAATATGTTAAATGCCTTCATAATTTTTTTCCAGGTTGTATCACAGCAAATCTATCAGTTCCACTTGACTTCTTCTCAGAGACTCCCCGCTCCAGAGTCTTCCATCCTCTTGTTAAAATCTGGACAGTAGGATTGTTTTTCCTTCACCTTCTGTTCTTTCTCTCCTATCTTGGAGCCTCTGTTCCCTGGATCTCTTGTCTTCATTTTTCTTCTGTTTGCTTTCTTTTGCTAAAGGGTATATCCTCACTAGCTTCCTATGAAGAGGTACATGGGAGGTAAATTATTTGAGGCCTTGCATGTCTGAAGGTGTCTATCCCATCCTTATGCTTCATAGATGATTTTGCTGAATTTAGAATATTGGGTTGAAAATAATTTATTTTTCACAATTTTGATGGTATTTCACAGTTCTCTGGCTCTTTTTCTGATGAAAAATTCAAAGCCATTCTGATTACCTTTTTTCCTTTGTTTTTATTGAAGTTCAGGGTCTTTTTCACTGGCATTCTGAAATTGTACATTTTGTCGGGGGGTAGTCCTTCTATCTCTCTGTCCATCTCCTATCTTGTCTCAGTGGGCCTTTTTGATCTAGAGATTCATATTCTTAAGTTTTCAAAAAATGTTTGTTACTTTGATAATTTCCTACACTTTATTGTTTGTTTTTTCTTTCTGTGATGGTTTGGTTATTGAGTGTCCTGGAATTAATCTTCAGATATTCTTGTGTTGCCTCTTATATCTTTGTGGAGTTGGGAGGAAAAGAGGGATTTCTCGATTTTGTCTTCCAAGATGTTATTTTAAAAATGTAATAATGTTTTAAAATTTTTGGATCTGTTTCTGTTTTCTCTTCCCATTTTCATTTCATATTGTTTCCATTTTATTTTTATTTTATGGAGGTATTTATCTTCACTTATCTTTGAGGTGTATGGTAAATATTTTCTATGTGTTTAACATGTTTTTAATATTTCTTCTGCTTCCTCTTGTGTGCCTTTTCATTTCAGGGTTCTTTTTAGTTTGTTTGTATCATAAAGACCTGGTGATCCTTGGCTGTCTAATTAAGAGCAAGATGCTGAAAAGTTGATTATGGGGAGAGAGCGTGTGGGTGCTGGGGTGGTCTAGTGACTTCCTTTGGAGGGCAAGTGGACTTTTCACTGGGCATTTACCCCACATACCAGCATCTTCATATCTTCAGGACTAGTCAGCATCTGCAGAGAAGACACCTCCACTCTCCTGCTTCTCCTGTGCTTGGTGATACACTGGCTGCCTGGGTTTGGGTTATCTGGCTGGGGAGGGAAGAGGGTGCTGCCCGTTTAGCCTGTAGACTGACTTGTCCTGTTTACAGTTCTGCCAATGTGGTTCAGTTTCTTCAGAAAAAACTTGGGGCTTCCAGCTGGACCTGGGGCTCAACTGTTTTGAATACCCTTTTCAGAGGCTCACCCATTGTCAGAACCGAGCCTCAAGCCAGTCTTTGGGGTTCCTTGGTGCCTTAGGGCTGCTGAGGGATAGTGAGCACTTCAACTGCTACCCATCTTGTAAAAATTTGTTGAAAGGTTTAATATATTGTTGTCTTCTTTCCCTTTCTGTTTGTCTTTGTGGTTTAATGTCTTTTTTTATTTCATTACTATCATTTTAGAGGAGTTTGGGGAGGAAATGGGGATAAAGACAAGTGGTCATTCCCCAGTATATAACTAGTAAGTAATTAAGGTTGGGCCTTGACTGTTGAAGAGCTGGTTATGTAGCAGTTTTGTGTAATAACAATATTAAAGAGTTGACACTTTTTAGAGTGCTGTGACAATCTTTTGCTTGTGTCAGGCACAAAGGTAATTAATCCCTGTCTTATCTTAGGTATGTACTACTATTTCCTTTTATAGATGAGGAAACAGACTTGGAGGAAGTATGTAACTGGCCCAGGTCCTTGGTAAGTAGGGCATGCAATTCTGATGGAAGTCCATACAGAGACTCCAAAAGCCTCAGGAGCTTTTTAATCTCTACATGGCATTCCTGTATCCCCAGGCCCTGATTTATTGCTCTCAATTACTCTTTTTAAACAGACTGCAATGTAGGCATCCATTTCCCCATTTTACAGATGAAGACTTTGATTTGGGGCCCTTTCGGCAGTGAGTTGAGGGCCAGAATCCTGCCTGAGTCCAGAACCCATATGGCCTCTTTTGTCAGCTTAGGAGGAGTTGTGATTAACCAGAATACTCAAGGCAAAGAAAGAATCTGCAAGCTTGCTGTTACATGAGCTTGTCTGTGGTCTTGATTATTACCTGCATCTTCCCGTGTTCTCTGTGTGATTGATAATCCTGATAGTACTGACTTCCCTAAAGTCCAGAGCTTGTAAAAGTGGCATGTGGCTGGGGCAGTGCTAGGGGTTTGGGAATGAAATGCTGATTGCTGGGGGGCATTGTGTACACTGATCATGATGGCAGTGATGGTATTGGTGGTGGGTAGGGTCTCTCTGTAGGAGTCGGGGAAGCTTCTGAGAACAGACTGCCTCCCACCAATTAGAAATTCACTTTGGATAA